TTATGTATCATAACCAAGAAATGAGCAAGCATCCTGCCTCAGGGTTACTGAAATGGGAACACAATGCCTCAATGCCTTTCCAATAATTCACAGATTTTAAACTCACGCCACCACCACCATTCTCAAGGAAAGAGTCAGTTCCCTTTCCAGCCCTGTGTGCTTTTATGTTCAACCAGAATCCTATAGCTGGAAAGGAACACAAAGGTCATCTGGTCTACTTCTCTCCTTCCAAAGTAGATAGCCAACTAAACGTTTCAGGTTCACAATTGAGCTATTTTGCACTGTAACACAGTTAGTATCTGTGCTCCAGGGGGTCTTTCTTGTGGTACTACACAAGTTTTAGATGCTTCTACCATCATACTTCAGATTACTCTGTTTCTTCTCCTTAAAATCTCTCTTCCTCCTAATCACACATCCTTCCAGATTAATCCCAGCCCTTTAAGAAGCCTCTCCCACACTCCACAGCCCCATCTACCCTTTCCTCCTTCTCTGAAATGGGATTAAACTCACTGAATTCAAGCAAGCATTTGCCTCTCAGATGCTGTGTAACAGACAGTTAATGTGTATTCATTGACTGACTCTCTCATATTTAAAGGAAGAGTATTTGTAAGAAACATTAGGATTTACCCTTAAATAAACTTCTACTACAAAATACTTATCAAGGGATAAATAGAAAGGTTTTCAAATTTTAGTATGAAGATATTTAGATCACGTAATCCTTAAAGAAATGAGTATTAAGCTATTCATCTCCACCTACTCGAAACCAGTGGCTGCAATAATGGTGGACGCCAGCACTGTTTGTTTTTCCAATCTACTATCATTTGGGAGATGCTTGCTTTAGGCAACTGAAGTCTTACATGTATTAGGTAAAGCAACCAGGGGCTTTCTCCCTAGGAAGAGACTGTGGTAGACACCCTTACCAAAAGAGGCTCTGTGTTTTGATACACATTCAATCTACAGAACTCTGTTGCTGCTGCCCACAGGATATTGTCTCTCTCTCTCTCTCTCTCTCTCTCTCTCTCTCTCTCACACACACACACACACACACACACACACACACACACACACTCCTCTCTTCCTTAAACTTTATAAACTGGAAAGAACTCAGATGAGGAAACCTAACCAAGAAAGGGTAAGCTAATGTGCTTTCCGTCATCCTTGTAGAAAATGGAAGAGTTGAGGGTCAAACCCAAATCTGTCATCCAGAGACATCAGGAGCTAGAAGTCTTCCAGGCCTTCCACCATCGAGCCCTTGGCTTTCATTTTCCCTGACCCTGAGCCTCCTGTATTCCACCAGCTCCCTCTGTCTCACCACGGAGGAACCTCCCCATGTCCATGACACCAAACTGTCATCCTTCCATTAACCAATTCCCCAAGGCTATCTCATCTCAAGCCCAGGACTTCTCCTATCCTACTTGGCAATTTCATTGTTTATTCCAGTTTTTCTCTTACCCAACACCATACCTGCCCAAACCATGCAGCTCCTATATCTTAAGCCCTTCCATAACTGTTCCAGACCAAGTGGCATGAAACTGAAGCTAGTGACCAGGACTATCTCTCACAAAGAGTCCTATTCTCTCCACCTAGGGTCACAGAGCCCTTTATTGTCTCATGCAGTATATTATATATAATACAATGAGAAAAGAAAGTTTTATCTTTAAGCACGCAGGTAACTCCCCAAGACATATAACCAAGCAAATGATTATGCCGACAACAGTTCATTGACACAATCTGTAAATACCAAACTACGCTAGTTTTTATAAAAAACATCAACGTCCTTTCTGGCTCAAGAGTTGAAACTGATTCATGGGAATTCTCTCGCTTGTCCATTTTCTCAGGTGCTAAAGAAATAATAAGGTGGTCAAAGCAGAGGACAGGACAAAAAGAACACAAGTAACAAGTCCAAATAAGTCAAAAGTCGCCACAAAGTGTGGTGTCATATGTGGACTCTGGAGGTCAACTGCACAGTGAGTCTTAATTAATAGCTGAATGACTTTGGATGCATTGCTTAAACTCTCAATTTCTTCATCTGGTAAATGGGTATAAGAGCAGCACCTATCTCATCCTTGTGGGGATGAAATAAATTAATATTTGTAAAAGCACTTAGGAAAATGTTTGGTATATACTAAGCACCAAATATATGTTAAATAAGCCTTCAGTTTGAAATTATTTTAATAATCACTGTCTGCTGACTTCCAAGTCTTACTAGCAGTTTCAGGAATCAGAGACATGGAGATGGTTTCCATTCTACAGCACGTGCACTCTGCAGCCTCTCCTATGAATTGTTTCCCAATAATTCACTTTATAATCTCTTCTCATTGGAACGCGATGGCAATATGCTCTAGGATCTCTCTCAATAACAATCCCCATTGCTGCAGCCACACACATGGTGAGAAACAGCCTCTTGGCCTTAGAAGACAAGCCCTGTGAAACCACAAAAGTTCTCATTTGCCCTACATCACAAATTCTACCTGTAACCCAGGGACTGGAATGCGGGCAAAAGGCCACCTACCACAGAGAAAACAAACAAAGGGAAAATTCTACCATACCATGTGTGTCTTCTAGGAGAGTGCAAAGCAAAACTCCTCAGAGCTGTGTGCATGCTAAAGACCCTCCTCCCAGTCTTTCTTAATTGTACCCTAATCAGCCTCGAGGCAAAGCTAGATTTTATCTTCTCAAGGTCAGCAAAAGACTGCCATTTTGGTTAACCCAGTAAGACCTGTCTTCCTCGACTGCCTCCTTCTCGGTCTCTAGGCCCCCGCTGTGTCCCAGGTTTTCCAGTGACTCTTTTGGGGGTTCCTTTGCTGGCCGCTCCTTGTCTCCCCGACCTCCATACACTGGAGTGCCCTGAGGTTCATTCTTTGGTTCTTCTCCCTCACATCCACATTCATGTTCATGGTGAGCTTGTGGAGGTCTGTGGTTCAGATGCCCTTCAGGGACTCTCACATGTGTATCTCCAGCCCAGACCTGACCCTGAATTCCTGATTCGTACATCCAGTTGCCTACTCATCAGGCATGGCGCCCCACTTGAATGTCTAATGGGATCCTAGATTTAGCTTGTCCAAAACCAAATTCCTGACTTTTCCCCCAAACCTTCTCCTCTTCAATCTTTCCCACTTTCCCCTCCCCATTCCCCTTCCCCTATACCTTACCCATCAGCAACTCATTTAAAAAATATCCAGTTGACTGAATGACTGAATTCTGGGCTGTATAGTGAAGTGGAGGAAAAAAATCTCACCATCCCTGCCAACTGCCCTCTGGTCACTATTATCTCACTTGATTCCTCTTGAACAATGTTCCTCCTTTGCCATTGCCTCACTATGGCATTTTCTTCAGCAGCCAAAGAGATACCATTAAAATGTTAGCCAGGCCATGTCACTCTCTTGTTCAAAACCTTCCCATATGGCCAGGCAAGGTGGCTTACATCTGTAATCCCAGTCCTTTGAGATGGTGAGGAGAGAGAATTGCTTGAGCCCAGGAGTTAGAGACCAACCTAGGCAACACAGCGAGATCTCAACTCTATAAAAAGCCAAAAAAATGAGCCAGGTATGGTGGTGCGTGCCTGTAGTCCCAGCTACTCAGGAGGCTGAAATGGGATGGCCTGAGCTCAGAAGTCAAGACCACAGTGAGCCATGATTGTGCCACCACACTCCAGCCTGGGAGACAGAGTGAGACCCCAACTCAAAAAAGAAAAAAGATGGAAAATAAATACCCCTTCCCATAGCTTCTCCCCTCACTTGGGAAAGCAAAAGTTCGTAGAACTCCATGGCCCTACGTAGCCTAAGTGGCCCACACCCACCCTACCAGCTCTCTGACCTCATCTCACCCTTCTCTCCCATTGGTCAGTTCGCTCAGCCATTCGGACCTCCATGCTGGTTAGGGATCCTGTGCTCCCAGCTTCTTCTACCTGGAACATCCTTCCCCAGACACTCACATGGTTCTCTCCTCCACTACCTTCACCTCCTTGCTCAGAAGTCATCTTCTAGCTGTCCCTCACATTTTTTTTAAATTGCAAACTACACTTGCCTAGCACTCTCTCTCTATCAACCTTCCCTGATTTATTTTTCCACATAAGACTCATCATATTTTATAAGCTTTACCTATTCTGTGTACCCCGGTGAGAATACTGATTTTGTCTTCCCTTATGAGAGTATAAGCTCCAGGTGGGTAGGGATTTATGTCTGTTCTTGTTTACTGCTGCACTTCTACTGCCTAGTTAATGCATGGTACTCTACTCAATAAAGATTTGCTGGCCGGGTGTTTGTTGCAGCTCTATTCACAATAGCAATAACATAGAACCAACCATGCTGCCCATCGAAGTTGAACTAGATTTAAAAAATGTCGTACATATACACAATGGACTATTATGCAGCCATAAAGAAGGGCAAACATATGGACTTCGCAGCAACTTGGATGGAGTTAGAGTCTATCATACTCAGTGATCTATCACAGAAACAAAGAACAGAGAACCATACGTTCTCACTCATAAGTGAACCTTGAATAATTATCATAATACTATAAGAAAGGGATTGGCAGTTGAGGGTAACTGCCAGGGGAGGGAGGGACACACCTTATCAACAAGGGTACCTGCATAATGAACATTAGTATACCTAAGCTGAATTGGACCCCACATCTTTAAAATAATAATAATAAAAAAAAGATTTGCTGGCTAGGCGTGGTGGCTCAAGCCTGTAATCCCAGCACTTAGGGAGGCCAAGGTGAGGGGATTGTCTGAGTCCACCAGTTCAAGATCAGCCTGGGCAACTTGGTGAGACCTCATCTCTACAATAAATCAAAAGATTAGCCGGGTGTGGTAGTACACACCTGTAGTTCTGGCTTCTTAGAAGGCTCAGGTGGATCACCAGAGCCCAGCAGGTCGACGCTGGGGTGACCGTGAGTGTGCCACTGCACCCCAGCCTGGGCGACAGAGTGAGACTTCAACTCAGAAAAAAAAGATTTGCTGAACGCAAGGGAATAATGGCCCACCTGGTTCCTCTTACCTAAGACAGTCATCACTGTCTTCATTAGCTTCATGGGTGCCTTCCGGCGGCTGATGGACCCACTTGTGTGTGGAGACAAGACTTTGGTTTTCCTCTTGACGTACATATAGATCCGCAGATACACCACAACCATGATGAAAAAGGCCATGAGGTTGGACACCGCCCAGAAAATGAGGTAACTCCTGCTGTAAATGGGGGCCAGGGAAGAGCAGGCAGAGATGTTGCAGAGGCAATTCCAGCCCAGCGTGGGGACCGCCCCCATGAAGATGGCAATGGCCCAGACAAGCAAAATGAGCAGCGTCACCCTCTTCTTTGTCAGGTTGCTGTGGACCCGCATCCTCATGATTGACATGTGCCTCTCCACGGCAATAACCAGCAAGTTGGCCAGGGAGGCGGTCAAGCTAGTGTCCAGGAGCCCCTGGCGGAGAAACCAGCGGTTGACGGTCAAAGTTTTTGAAACCGGTCCGGTGTTAAACATCAGGAATACATAGGCAATCCCAGCAAAGAAATCTGCAGCAGCTAAGTTCGCCAACAGGTAGTAGAAGGGGAAATGAAACTTCCTGTTTTTGATCACCGCTGCGATGACCAGGGAATTAGAAAAAAATATAAACAGGCAGAAAAACGTTCCGACACACAAAACGATCACAAGCTTCGTTCCTGTCCACCCATCGGGGGTATCAGTGTTGCTCCTATTATAAAAAAAGTCCATCTGCTTATCATAGTGGCACTCATTCATTGTGGAGAAGAACCGAACATCCTGGAAAGAAATTTAAAGAAGAAACAAATCTCACTCTTTGTAAAATCGGTCACTCATCCACCAACTGCCACTACTGAATGAACTCCCATGAACCCCTCAGGTCTCGGTGCCAACGTCCCTGGCTCCACGACATTGGCCCCTGACCTTCCACCACAGCACTGATCTCACATTGTAATTGCTCCCCAAGGAAGACTGCAAGCTCAACCAAAGAGGGTACGTGTCTGTTTTTTTTTCACCATTATAACCCAGGATCTTGTTGCTCTGTCCTCCCCATGACAGGTCATTGTTGAAAGACTGGCTGATTGAATGAATGAATGAATGATCATGGAGGCATCATCATAGCAAATGCACCAAGCCCTGCAATATCCACTCTGCATTGGTAACAACTGCCACACAGTCTGTTAATACTTTCTACTAGTTTCCAGTTCATATCTTATTTCAGTCCATTAATAATGGAGGGAAGGATGGTAATTCCAGGTCCATTCTTGCCAAGATCATGGAGGTTGAATGACTCTTCACATAACCAAATGGCTTCCCCAAAAGATTGACCTCCAACACTTCTGAGTCCCCTCCTGGTCCTTCTTTGACCTCTTCTGGGTTTCACGCTATAATTATGACATCTGCTTATTAAGCATGCAGTGTAGGGATGGAGACTCTGGTCTCAACACACTTTCCTTTCCTTTTTGCTCACTTCTTCCTTACAGTCTGCTAGTCTAAACTAAACTGACCTGAGCTTGTTTCCTGGACTTTCCAGCACCCCTCAACACAGCAGACAGTGGAGGATCAGGCCAAGACTAAGACTTGGTACTTGGGCAGATAGTCAAAACCCAATGTGGAAGATAGAACATGCCTGCCAAGTGAGGGCAAGGCAAGTCCTTGGGAAAACATGTCTGAAAGTAAAACCCAAACGTGGGTATCAGGCAGACAGGGAAGATATTAATCCTCTCAGGAAAAGGTCTCTTGAACCCCGAAATGAGGGATTCTGGCCAAGGAAGGGCTGGGCGGAGCTCCAAGGATGCCCATGTGTCTGTGCGAGGTGTTCAGCCTCACAGCGGTCTGGCCACAGCCTTTGATAGGACAGGGTCTTATCCAAGAAGACCAAGGCTTGAGGCCAGGATTCTAGCCTCTGGGTAGCATGATCGTGGGTTCTCTCATAAAGAATAAGGGGGCAACTTGTTCACTGGAGAACAGTAGACCCAGGAGCTGCACAGTCCACAGGTGGGAATGAAGGGGCTCTAACAGCAAAAGTCCAGTAGAAATCCCAGCTATAAAGTTCCTGCAGATTCTGAAATCTCATACCACAGCCAGAAGCAAAGCTAGCAGACCAGATAACAATTTTAAGTAGTACAAAAGAAGAATGTAGCTCAGTGTTCTTTTTAATTTATATTTTAGTGGTATCATGTTACTTTTAAATGAGTCAGACATTACTTCTCTTCCATGGCAAATGGGAGGCAAATATCATTTTATATGCTTGAAATAAACAAACTGGGACTGGTCTCGAGAGACCAACGGTGCCAGCGCCTCCCAATTACAAGGACTCAATTTTAATGATGGCCAAACAAAAAATTACTCTCTCTCTTTGGCAGACAGTCACCAGTATTTAACTGGAAATATCAAATAACAATAGGCTAATATATCATGTATCTATACTACCTCATAATAATTTCTCTCCATTAAAAATATAGATAGTATGAAAATGGCAATGACTTCACAATTTTCCATTATATAAGTAGACCATACATTACTTAGCTATTCTTCAATTAATGAACATGAAGGTTGTTTCCAGTATTTCACCTTTATAAACAATGTAACATTCCGGTGCATTCATCTTTATAAAACTTGGCCATTTATTTCTTTAGGAAGAATGCAAAGATTTCAAATGGAGATAAAGAATTATAAATTTGCTTTCTGACACACCTTGCCTCACCGTGCTTAAAAGAGATCATATTTTTTAATCTCACCAGCAGCATATAAAAGTTAAATAAAAGGTACTAATCTAATGAGATTCAACTTAAATACCCAAGGAGAAAATATAGTTTTCCACCATGTTGAAAGCATATAGAAATTCAAGACAAACAATCCAAGAACCTGTTGCTTGGTCTGAATGTTTACCTCCCTTAAATCTTAAAACATGATTCTGTGAATTTTTATTTTTTTATTTTGAGTTGGATTCTCACTCCATCACCCAGGCTGGAGTGCAGTGGCATGCTCACGGACACCCCAGCAACGACCTTCTGCTTCAGCCTTCCAAGTAGCCAGAACTACAGGTGTGCACTACCACGACTGGCTAATTTTTTTTTTTTAAATAGAGATGAGGTCTCACCAAGTTGCCCAGGCTGCTCTCAAACCCGTGGGCTCAGGCAATCCCCTCACCTCGGCCTCCCAAAGTGCTGGGATTACAGGTTTGAGCCACCGCACCCAGTGGAATCTGCAATTTTTAACAAATTAGTAAGTATTTCAGTCCTAGCCTAAATCTCCCCTCCACAAAGATACTTTCTCTGACCAAAATTTGCCATTCCAAAATTCATACTGAAACCTAATCCCCACCGTGGTGGTATTAATAGGTGAGGCTTTTGGGAAGTAGATGATATGAGTGCCCTCGTAAAAGAAGTTGAGGGACCCTGTGAGCCCCCTTCCGATATCCCACCAAGCCAGGACCCAGCAATTGCCCCCTTCTGCCATGTGAGAACATAGCAACAAGGCGCCATCTTATACGCAGAGACTAGGCCCTCTTAAGACACCAAATCTGCTGATGCTTTGATCTTGCACTTCCCAAACTCCAGAGCTATGAGAAACTCATTTCTGTGGTTTCTAAATTATCTAGTCTAAAGTATTTTTATTATAGCAGCAGAAACAGACTAAGATATCACATGAGAAATTTTACGACCAAGCAATTTCCCTTCTGGGAGTATATCCAGAGAAACTCAAATCATTCTACAAAAAAGATACCAGCACATGCATGTTTTATTGCAGCACAATTCATAATCATGGAACCAACCCTGCTGCCCATAAAAAGTGGGCTGGATAAAAAAAATGTGGTACATGTACACGATGGAATATTACGCAGTCATAAAGAAGGACAAAATTATGGACTTCACAGCAACTTGAATGGATTTAGAGCCGATCATACTCAGTGATCTATCACAGAAACAAAGAATTGAGTACCACATGTTCTCACTCCTAAGTGGACCCTGAACATCTAGCATGATACTACAAGAAAGGGATTGGCAGTAGCAGGACACTGCCGGGGGTGGGGAGCACATAACATCAATAAGGGTACCTGATCCCAAACCAGGTGAAGTTAGGACCAATGGGAGGCCCACACTTTACCTGTACGATGACCACTTATCTACCTAATTCTGACTTGCACCCCATATCTTTAAAATAAAAAACAGAGGAAAAAAACCAATTAATTTGTCCTTTCACTAATCAAAAATAATTTATGTGTTTTATTCTATTACATGTTCTAGCTATCTAAGAGAAACATATTTATAATTTAAAACTTATATTACCCTTGGCTATTAGAAATATCAAGATTAATATGACACAAAGACATAGGAATTAAGATACTACTCAAAAATACTGTTAAAATTTTCCTAAATTTCTTTTGAAGGGATCTTATAATTTTAGTTTTGGTTCTTACATTTGTTTGAATTTATAATTATATCATTCACTGAAACCTCAATGATTTTTACTTCAAATATCTTCGAATTCAACTTTCCCTTATCAAAACCAATATAGGACATGCTTTAGCAAAAGCTGTCCTGAGGCTGAGAAGCCATTTTGTCTTACAATGTTGAAATATCACAGAAAAACTATGATTAACTAGATTACCCACTAAGCAGCTCCCTATTCCTGGTCTAGATTCTACTCTTGGGAGAAGCAGGCAATGAGATCAAATAAGTTCATATAGAGAATTGGTGAAAAATGATTCCACAGGATGGAATATTATGCAGCCAATAAAAATCCTGTTCACTGTGAAGTTGCAGTAATACAAAAAAAGTCCATCTCATTATTTTAATTACAAATAATTATATATTTGTATGTATACACAAATAAGTGTGAGACTTTACTGTTTTTAAAGGTAGAAAAAAATCCCAAAATGTAAATAGTTAATTAAGAATGGTGGAACCGTGGATCATTTTTTAAACACTTCTTTCTAGTGTTTTCTTTCTAGTCCCACATTTTCTATAATAAGTAAATACATAGACTTTTAAACACTAGTTTTCAAATTCTATTTTAGGAATGTACATTATACTTTAGGTATTCTATCTTTCTTCTACAACTATAGCTCTAAAAATTCAAAATTAATGTTCAAAAGACAAGCTCAAAGATTTGCATATAGTCCACTGATTCTTAGCAGCACAACACACTACAGAGCTTTTTAATGATGACAACAATAAAATGGTTTTCTACACAAACATCACATAATCTAAAACTTTCCTTGTTGGAACTTGACCACATAAGGATATAAATTCCACCAATTGCCTACCAAACATTTCCTAATTACCTCAAAGCTCCAAAAATGAGTAAGTACTTTGACTTTTTTTTCTCCTTTTCGAAATATGCTTGTTGACAGTTCTCAGTACATATTAACCACAGATCACCACATTTGCTTAGCTGGAAATTACCAAAAACTTTAGCAAACTTACAGTAAATGGCCTACTTATCATCTCTTGACCACCCTTAAAACTTAAAACATGATTCTGTAATTTTTCACAAGTTAATAAGTTATTTCAGTCCTAGCCTAAATCTTCCTTCCACAAAGATACCTTCCCTGACTAACTCTAAGTATCCCTGCCTCTCTCGATCTCAGAGAACCCTGTTTTATCCTCATCAGAAGCACCCGGGTAGCCCATTCATTGTCCAGTATTTTCTTTAGTGTTTATGCATTTCTTGTCCATCTCCCACCACTGGACCGTTCCGCTCCAGCAGAGCAGGGAACTTGCCTATTATGCCAACTTTTATAGCATCAGCATTGGTTGAATGAATGACTACACTCTTTTCCTCTCTGGAAAATG